CTTAATTCTAGGCATAAATGGAAAATCCATAACAAATTAGGAAAAAAATTTTAAATAAAACAAAAGCACTTTTTCCTGTGCTACCAAACAGGTATTTGCTATTATAGATGTTGTTTTTTAGCTTCCCTCACCAAAACAAACAAATGAGCAAAATAGTTTCTGAATGTCCTTGTATACGCTAATGTATCACTTTTAATAGCTGCATAAGATTCCGCTATAAGGCAGGTAGAATTCCAATAAGGCCACTTCCGTGGTGTCCCAGCTCCCAGAGAAGCAGAGGTTTTGTGAAACAGGCACATGGGAGGTCAGAGAACAGAGTGGTCCTGGCAGGGCAGCAGTTTGCAAGCCATGGCCCTCTGCTTGTTTTTATAAATAAAGTTTTATTAGCACACAGGTATGTTCTTTCATTTGCGGATCATCTGTGGCTGCTTTTGTGCTGCAATGGCAAAGTTGAGTAGTTGCAACAGAGACTGTCTGGTCCTTGAAGCCAAAAATAGTTACTTCCTGGCCCTTTACAGAGAAAGTCTGAGGAGCGCTGATGTAGGGACAGGTAGATTAACCTGTGTCGGGAGGGCTTTGCCTTGTAAGGGCGTTGTCCAGTTGCTGGTTCTGAACAGGGCAAAAAAATGTCCACTGAGTAACAACCCCACAGATGCTGCAATACACCAACAAAGTAGATGTTCCCTGCCTTGGGGAACTTGCAACGTAGGCGAAGGAAATGTGAAAAGAAGATAAGAAACTATTGGCTCAGGCCACGTGCACTGCCCTGCAGCCTGGTGTGTGTTCATATGCGACTCTGAGATTGTTTTCTCTGCTCACAAAGGAGAGGAAATTCCTGGGGAAAGGAGGGTTGTGTCTGATGTCCTTTTCTTTCGTTCAGGTATGAGGAGGAAAGGCTTAAGGCCAGGAGAGAGAGGTACGTGCAGAGCGGCCCCTGTCTGGCTGGGTCAGGGCTAGGTGGGGGCTGGGTCCAGGGCTGCGGGCTGAGCTGGGTCCTCATGTCAGGGGTGGCCCAGTGACTTCTGCTCAACAGGGACCAACGTCCCGCACACAGCTCAAGACTCTGCCCTTCTGGTGAGGGATTTAGAGTTAGGCCCAGGCTCCAGGTTCAAAGGAAGTAAGAAGTTCCCACCCGCCTTGGAGGTTATCGTGAAAATTCAGGAACAACGTAGCCCACTTGGCAAAAAGCGGGGGCACGGAGTTCATGCTCAGTAAAGAATAGTCGTCACCATCGTGTAGCATCAAGTTCTCCCGTCACAGACGGAACACAAGCCCGACATTGGTCCCTGCAGACACGCAAATGCACCCTCACTAACTTATTGGCTCGGTTTCCATGGGCGGCACAAGCCCTTCGTGTCACACACAGAATTTCAGGACTATTCCGGCCCCAACCAGATATGGAGTCCTTAGACCAGCTCCTGGGCACTTTAGAATCCCACTGAGAGCCAGGCAGGGTGAGGATGCCTATCAGCATCTTACAGCCTGGGAATCTGTGGCCCAGAGAGGGCAAGACACCTGCCCGAGGCCACTCAGCAAGTCTGCGAGTGCACTGAGGCTTTCCACGGCTCAAAAGCATTTATCACGCCAGGCCTGGTGCTGACCTCAGAGGAAACAGAGGCACATAAAACAGAGTCCTTTTTCTAGAAGTTTTCTCAAACAGCGTGGGAGAGGGATGCCACGCCGGCATGGAAAACAGGTCCCAGGGAGAGGGAAAAAACAGAGAGGTGGGTGGGGAGCTGAGAGACCCTCAGCCCGGCCTCGCTGGTCTCCCTTGACACCGCGCTCTCTGTCCACAGCGCGAGGCCCCAGCCGGAGTTTGTCTTACCCAGGTCCGAAGAGAAGCCGGAGGTGGCGCCAGTGGAGGACAGGTGGGTGTGCACGTGACCTGGGGACGAGATTGGGGGCTGCCGAGTCCCCAGGGGCAGAAATAGAACCGGGTGATGCCTCCGCCTAGGAGTAAGGTGGGACACGCAACCGCGTGGTCGCCACGTCGACTGAGCCGATTCCAGCGCATCCCGCCAACCCATGGGGCCAGCGCTGCTGGGGTTGACATACCTCAGGGGCTTTTCCCAGGAGGGGGCTGCTTTCAAATTGTCCCATGAGTGGCCACAGGAGCCAAAGCCAGCACACTGGGGCGGGGTTGCCCACGTGGAGTGAGAAGTCAAGAGTATTAGTCACTGTCGCGCCTGTAATCCTAGCACTCTGGGAGGCCGAGGCGGGTGGATCACTCAAGGTCAGGAGTTTGAGACCAGCCTGAGCAAGAGTGAGACCCCGTCTCTACTAAAAAATAGAAAGAAATGATCTGGACAACTAAAAATATATATATAGAAAAAATTAGCCGGGCATGGTGGTGCATGCCTGTAGTCCCAGCTACTCGGGAGGCTGAGGCAGAAGGATTGCTTGAGCCCAGGAGTTTGAGGTTGCTGTGAGGTAGGCTGATGCCACAGCACTCTAGCCCGGGCAACCGAGCAAGACCCTGTCTCAAAAAAAAAAAGAAAAAAAAAAAAGAGTATTAGTCACTGGTTTCCCCCAAACCTCCACCTTCAGCCAGAATGACTCAGATTTTAAAAGCACCTTCCCCAGCCAGACAGTGTGGACATCCCAGCCCTGCCCTGTCCTAACTGTGACCTGATGCACATCCGTGACCCTCTGGGCCTCAGTGCTGTCACCTGTAAAGTGGGGATGACCACAAGGCCAACATGAGGACTAAATAAAGGGACCCACATTAATGCTCATAGTGTCAGTTTGAGGCTAAGAACGCAGAAATATCCAGATAAAAGTTATCGTGATGTAATCATGCTACCTCGATCAGATGTTATCATAAGGATGAAAGGTGACTTTTGTCCAAGTCCCAGCAGGTAGATTCAGCCTTGCGAGTCTGGCAGACCCTGAGTAACAGTATCGGTTTCATTTTGTGTTAGTGAAAGGCCTTGGCCAATGTCCTCAAAACTGCCCGTCGGGGCTCGTTTGTTACACAGCAGATGCACACTGACGCCTGCATTGTACCAGACCGAGACGAAGCAGTGTCAGCCCTCATGGTGCTCACAGCCTCCACCAACAGGTAGAAAATGCCCAGGTGCCCAAAAATAGGCAAATAATAATGCCACGCCCTCTTCTCTCTCTCTCACAGATCTGTTCCCGTCACAGAAGATCAGGAAACAAGGTGAGTGTGATGGATGGATGGATGGATGGAGGGATGGGTGAGTGGATGGATGGATGGGTGTGTAGGTGGGTGGATGGGTGGATCGATGGATAGATGGGTGGATGGATGTGTGGATGGATGGGTGGGTAGGTGGGTAGATGGACGGACGGATGGGTGGGTGGATGGATGGATGGATGGATGGGTAGGTAAGTGGATGGGTGGACCGATGGATAGATGGGTGGATGGATGTGTGGATGGATGGGTGGGTAGGTGGGTGGATGGATGGATGGATGGTTTGACGGCTCCCTCCAGTCTCACTGAGGGCACAAGTCCCAAGGGTCTGCTTTGCTGGGGCACCAGGAAGGACGCCCCCTTCAGAGCCTCACTCGGAAGGTGGCAGTCCCTAAAGAGCAAGCAGTTCTTGCCGTCAGAGCTCACCGACACCGGGTTAGATCACCCTTTTGGATTCTACCCATGTGGAACAGCATTTTCCACTTTTAATAATCACAATAACCCGGCCTGTGTTTCTCTCTAGCATGTCCTGAGGCGACATGAGCATAGAGAAGGACACACAAGAAGATTCCAGATGCCAAGAAATCTCTGTCCGATGCCCTCTGGCCCCGGATCTCATCCCTCCTCATCTCGACTCCCCACCTCCCGAGGGCGCCATTCCCCTCCACTCATCTCTGAAACCCAGTGTCCTTTTTAGCTGCTTGAAAACATTTGAAAAAAAAAAAAATGAAAACGATGCAGTATTCGTGCGTTCCAGACAAGGGCGGGGCTCTGAGTCCTCCACCCTCCACGCCCGGGAGCCCACAGCCCAGGAAAGTGAGAAGGGCAGGGCGTGGCCCGCGTGGCCCTGGTGGTCTCTGCTCCTGCTCCCAGCCCCGTGACCTCAGACACTCCACTCGCTGCCCCTGGCCAGCGCCGGGCTCGAAGTTCAAGACCATCCTCCTGCTTGTAACCTGTCACCTGTCCCAGGCTGGAGCCACAGACGTCCCCCCACCCGGCACTCTGGCTGGGTCTGCATTTGTTCCTGTGCCTTTTCCTTCCAGAATGTGGCCCCCCCCGGGGCCTGGAAGCTCAGCCCCCTCCCGCCCTCCTTACCGAGCCACCGCCCAGCCTCCGACCTTCTGTCCAAAATCCACACCCGTGGTTTTTTGCATTCGACCTGCCCCCTTCACCTCTGATTACACCCGCCTTCTTTGGGAACACCGGAGCCCACAGCACGAGTGAGATCTGCTGCTAGTCGTTCTTGTCTTACCGTTGCAAAATGGCACTCCAGCAATCTAGAACATTCTGAAGCCCCTTTAACTTGGACGCCGCACTACAGGGCAATCCCAACCAATACCTCCAACCAAGCGAATGAGCTGTGCCCACCTCACCGCTCCCCCAGCCAGAGCGGGGGCTCAGAAGCCAGCTCTGAAGTAGCCAGGCCCGGAAACAGGAAGATACAGGGTATCGGACGTTCAAGTGTGCTGAAAGTCACTTGGGAAAATAAATCCCAGTGGGGGACTGGCTGTGGCCACGCGCATTCAAAGCCGGGAGCAGCGGGTCCTCATTCAGAAGGAAGATCTACCCTGGGATGAAAGATGGACTTTTCTAATGTGGTCCAAACACCAGTCACCCAGTCAGGTGGCCTCTAGAAGCAGTGAGCTCCCCGTCTCTGGAAGCATTCAAGAAAAGGCTGGACGGTGTTTGCAAAAAGTGGTGCGTGAGGTCCCCTCCAATCCTAAGTGTCTCTTTGTCTGTGAATCTGAACAAAACTCGAGCAGGCACGTTCTCCGGGCCCCTCTGCCTGGCTTTGCACTTGACTTCTTGGCAAGTGATCGCGAGGTTCGGTCGAGCCGCGTCACCGTTGACTGAGGTTCTTGGTCTCAGGCGAAGTGTTGAGTGTCGAGTGTCCCTCCACCTGGGACGGCAAGGAGGTGCCTGTTGGGTTGTCCCAGAGACCAGAGGGCAGCTGGCGCCGTTCAGTGCTGAGGGGCAGGGATGGGGGACGGTTTGCCGTGTGTGACAGGGGGCTGGACGTCCCACCCTGAAAGCCAGTGGCGCCCGCCCTGAGCGAGGCGGGTTTCTGAGCCCCATCGGGGAGTTGCTGGCCGTGCTGGGGACATCTCTGAGCCCCGTCACCGTCCTGGTGAGGCTGGGACACTTGCGGGTCTGGTGGGTATTTTAAATTTGTGCTTCCCAAATGTCAAATAAAGGACAGAGGCAGGGATGGTGTCGGGGCGGGGGTGGGGTCAGAGGTGTCAGCCTGAGGCTGAGGGGCAAAGGCAGGTGGAAGGGCCTCTCCTGGCTGCCCGTGGCACCTCCTTTGGGAACAGGTGCTCTGAGAACCTGGTGGCTGGCCCCGCCCACCGAGGTCGACATGTGGCCCAGAAGGCCCCAAACTCCCACCCTGGTGAATGGCGTCCCTGCCCAGCCACGCGAGATGACAGAGGCTGTCAGACCACGCCGAGCGGGGCACCTTCTGGCAGATGCCAGCCAGGCCCGGCCGCCACCATGGTTTGTCCGTCCCCTGTGACCAAAGGGACATCGCTCCAGCATGAGTCTCTCTCCCCCAAGCAGTGACGATAACTCCCGAGCCTCGATGTCCCTTGAAGACTGGGGCCTCCTCCCCCCAGTCGAACAAAGGAGCCAGCGGTAGGAAGGGACTCGTTGTACCCACGCGGACAATGAATTATTGAGTGCTTACGGCAGCGGGGTGACAAATAAGGCCCCACCCCACCCTCAAGCTGTGACGCCGGGACCCACCCACCACCCCTTCCGATCACCAGCGCGGCCATGGACCTCGGGCACGCGGGACCCCAACTCAGCTGCAGTGGACCTTCCAGAGCCGAGAGACGGCCCCAGTAAAGCCACAGGGCTGTACCTCTGGGCTGGCCACCTGTCACCGGTTGGGACAGCTCCGTTCCAAGGGGGCCACCGTCCCCAAGTGGGCCACTCCCTGTCCCATCCAAAGATCGGCTTTGGGACAGATTTGTATCTGGGGGTGGGGGGAACAGTTTTGGACAAAATGCAGTGGACCCTGAGCCCTTGTCGTGCAGGGACGTTTGATTTCTCTCTGGTGACATGTGGGATGCGTCATAAACCCTCCCCCAAAGTCGTAGCAGGCCCATCCCTCATCCCGCGGCGAGTTTCGCGGTTTTTCGAAACCAGAAGCGATCGTGATGATATTGCTGTCGTGACGTGAAGACATCATCTCCGTGAGCTTGGGGGGATTTTTATGTGAAATAAATAAACTGTCTGAGAAGGGGGCGCTGTGCTTCCTGTGCTTTGGCCTTGGCCTTGGGCGCGGCCAGAGGGGGGGTTCTGGTGGCCCAGCTGCGGGTGGGGCCGGGGCGGCTGGGCGATCCCAAATTTCTTTCCTGCCACTAGACCTCTCTGGAATCCGACCTGTTCAGCAGGTAGTAATAATAACAACATTGATCACACTATTAGTAACAATAACAGCTGTGCCCACCTGGCATCTCCCCCAAGTCACCAAGAGGGAGACCGAGGCAGAGAGAGGTGACGTGGCTCCCCAGGGTCACACGGAGAGTGAGTGAGTGAAGAGTCTGAGGCCTGGGCCTGTGCCCTGTAGTTAATGCGTCCACGTCCACGGCTGGGGACCTGCCATCCCTCTGCCAGATGCAGGAGAACCGGGGGCCTGTGCCTCGCGGGGGCTCTGAGTCGAACCTCCAACTGCAGGTGCAAGAGGAGCCCTGCTTTTGTTGGTGCTGGTGACAGGGACACCAAGGCGGGCATCACAGGGACACAGTGCTATGTCCCCATCAGGTGGATGTCGGGAAAGGGCAGGGTGAGCCCACCAGGCTGCGCCGTCCCCCTTCCCTGGAGCAGGCTGCTGGGAGGAGGCCTTAAGGGGAAGGGGTGGGTGCTGAGATTGTGGGGGCCACTCACAGTTTGAGGGTGACAGTCACTCCCCCCTCACTCATTCATTCATTCATTCATTGGCAGGTGCTGGGGACCCAACTCCACGTTGCTCCCAGCCCAAGGGACCAGGAGGAAGGGCTCTCTCTAACCAGAGACCCTGCAAAGAAGCAGCAGTCAGCCGGGGCCTGCAGGGGGCGCCGGGCTGGGGGCTGGGGTGGGCCTGGGGCAGGACCAGGCTGCCAGCGGGTGTGTCGGCAGAACCCAGAACTCAATTAAGGGCCTAGGTACTATTTCTTCCTTCCTTCCTTCCTTCCTTCCTTCCTTCCTTCCTTCTTCCCTCCCTCCCTCCTTCCTTTCTTCTTCTTTCTTTCTTAGACAGAATCTTGCTCTGTCACCCAGGCCAGAGTGCAGTGGTGCGATCATAGCTCACAGCAGCCTCCAACTCCTGGGCTCAAGCGATCCTCCTGCCTCAGCCTCCCGAGTAGCTGGGACGACAGGCCTGAGCCACCACTCACGGCACCTGGCCTTTTTTTTTTTTTTGAGGTGAGAGTCACTTAAAATGCAATTAACTACTTTCAAGAGTACATTCAGTAGCATTTAATACCTTCACAATGTTCTGCAACCACCACCTCTCCCTAGAGGTTCCAGAATATTCCATCACCCCAAAAGGAAGACCCGTCCCCATCAACAGTCACCCCCCCACAACTCCCTCCCTAGCCTCTGGCAGCCACAAATCCACGTCCTGTCTCTGTGGATCTGCCTGTTCTGGACATTTCCGATAAACAGAATCCCACAGGGCATCACGGGGGTCACTATTTAGTGCCCCCGGACCTGGGGCTGTTTGGGGACGGACCAGTCTGATTTTGGAGCCCCCGGGCCCTCTTCCCACAGGCGTCCTGCCAGGCCTTTATCTGGGCATGTGCCCCAGCAGGAGGCTCCCAGGACATTCTTGCCACCGAGACTGGGCCAGAGGTCATGCGCCCAGGAGCTGGGCTGGCCTGTCCGCCTGCTGGGTGCCTCGTGGAGCTCAGACATCACAGACTCAGCCACCCGCCATGCTGCCAAATGGGGAAACCGAGGCCCAGGGAGGGACAGAGCTGAATTTCAGCCGGGGTGGCCGGGCTCAAGGTGGGAGGGGGAGGAAGTCAAGGGTGGGGTGGACAGACGGGTCATTTGGACACTCTGCTTCCAGTGGCTGCCTGTCTCCCTGACCTTTCCACCAGGTCTGTCCTACCTGGGGCCACACTCACCAGGTATCGATGTGACCAGACACTGTCCCCCCTCCAGCTGAATCTACGCAGTCAGAGGGGGGATCACAGCTGTCTTGGCCACTGCGGGTCCCACCAGTGGAATCGGGTCGGGGAGAACGCAGAGGCCGGGAGACAGCAGGAGCAGGTGAGGATGGGGGCTTCTTTTAAACGCACGCTGTGAGGGGGCCACGGGAGAGTTCAGGACAGAAGAGGGAACACGCCTGCCCTGGGTCTTTACGAAGCTCCCTCTGGCCGCAGCCGTGTAGACAGGAGGGTCTCGGGAGAGGTGACCGGGACACCAGAGAAGCAGGGCAGGGGCCCGGGTGCTCCACGCCGGGGCTGGGGCAGGGGGGACGGGCAGGTGCGGATGCAGGCCTTGGTGAGCAGTCGGGGACGGAGCTCACTTCTGGGCACTACGACAAATTATCCCCAGCTCGGTGGCTCCAAACAACGAGAATGTAGTCTCTGACGGTGCTGGAGGCCACACGTGCAGAAAGCCAGTGTCACTGGGCTCATGTCCGGTGTCAGCAGAGCCTCGTTCCCACTGGAGGCTCCCGGGAGGATCTGTCCCCTGCCTCTTCCTCCAGCTTCCGGCGGCTTCCGGCGTCCCTCTGGTCCCAGGGCCGTCTCCTCTGTGTCTGTGTCGAGTCTCCCTCCCGCCTCCCTCCCATGAAAGCAGACTTGTGACGGTATTTAGGGCCCACCTGGACCACCCAGGATCATTCCCCAGCTCAAATTCCTTAAATTTTACTTTTTAGAGACAGGGTCTCTCTCTGTCACCCAGGCTGGAGTGCAGTGGCGTCATCACAGCTCACCGCAGCCTCCAACTCCTGGGCTCCAGCGATCCTCCCGCCTCGGCCTCCCCAAGTGCTGGGATTACAGGTATGCGCCACTGCTCCCGGCTGACTGTCATTATTTTATTTTTTTTAATAGCCCAGGTGTATGTGGAAGATTATTTTTAAATATTAATGTTTTAAATTCTTCTCCGTTTTCGTTTATAACGGGGTAAATATTATCAATGACCACAGTCCACTTAAGCGTGCCATGGCTGTGCCAGCCCCAAACGAGTGGCTGAGGCAACTGTATCACGCCAGAGATTGAGGACATGCCGGCCCGGGAAAAACACTAACCGGAGAAGCATCTGTGACCTGTGCTGTCTGCAGAGGGACTTGGGGACTCAGTATTTAAGGAGAGAGGACACACAGGAAGAAAAAGGAGGGTGGGGTGGGCACTTTGAGGCAAATGGTTACATTCTGGTGAGACTCTAGTTAATGCCCAGGAAGCCGGCATTTCACGCAAGACAAGGCCAATGTCAGAAGAGGGAAGGACGAGAGGGTGTTGCCGACGTGCCCGGGTAGGTGGGGCGATGACCCATCTCGTCTTGCGTCTGCTCTGCGCCCGGGAACATAAACTTGTCCTCCACGTTATTAGCGCAGAACCCAGCAGGCTTTAGTTTTCATAGACGCAGCCTGCAGACCCCAGGTTACAATCTGCACGTCCTTTTGTACGGGAGGCCAGGGAAGAGTTTCCTTCCGGATGATCTGGGGGGCGGGCAGCCCTGGGAGATGCCCGAGGCCTTTTATCGATACCTTTCCGCGCCCGGGGAATCCGGCTAAGGCACGAGGTTGGTAACAGCCGTGCGCTCGGAATCGGGTGTTGCACGACTCAGACCCCAGGTGTGGCGCTTCTCGTTTGCACACAGAGCTGGGGGTGGCCCTGAGGTTTGCATCTCAGCACCCTTCATGGGTGTAGCGATGAAACACTGTCCTTGACCAAACTGTAGCCGGGCGCAGAGGCATCCCCGTCCTTGGGCAAGCCCCCCAAGAGCCCGGTTTCAGCAAGAATCCCGCCAAGAGGGTCTAGCCAGCATGGCCCCCACCCTCCATATCTGATCACCCTCGATCTCTAACCAAATTCCTCATCCCCCCAACTCCTGTCCACACCAAGAATCCGCTTAGATCAGTTGCCAAGAATCCTCCACCTCCCGTCCTCTGGACACCGACCACCCCCCTGCTCCCGGGCTACAAATCCCGCTTTCCCTGTTGTCGTGGGGAGGGAGGGAGATTGAGCCCAATTCCTCTCCACTACTGCAAAACCCCAGCTCGTGGTCCTGTTAACGGGGGAAAAAAAAAACAAAAAACACCAAACTCTGTAAAATAAAGAGATTTTATTCTGAGCCAAGTGTGTGTGACCCACAGCCCGGAGCACGTGTTTGCAAGAGGTTCTGAGAAAAGGTACCCTCAGTAGCCAGGTTACAGGTTGGTTTTATTGGTGGGGACAGGAATGACACGTAAAATCACAAATCAATACACGGAAGGCGGACACTGACCTGGCCCGAAAAGGTGGGGTGACTCCAAGTGGGAGGGGGGGGAGGCTCACGGGTTCTAGGTGGGTTTAAAGATGTTTGGATTCATAGCTGGTTAAGGAGACGCAGGTTTGTCCAAAGCCTTGGAGTGTTTAAAGACAAGGCAGTCTGTTAATCGGAGACAAGTGGTCTATTTAGTCCATCGATGGCTTGCAGGGGTGTTTTAACCTTTGTTCTGCAAGGTCTTAGGTCCTGGTGATGATCTAGTATCTTTACGGTTTTTTCTGGGGTCCCCTTGGCCGAGAGGAGGTCTCCTCATTAGACTGGGGGGCTTAGGATTTTATTTCAGTTCACAGCCCCCAACCCGCCCCCAGCGACGTCTCCCTTACCGTTTTAACCGGCGACAGAATGATTTTCTCTCTTCACCCGTAGAAACGGCAGATCAGCAGAGAGGCCCCCACCCCAGGCTACTGCGGGTGTCACTGAGTCAAGTGACTCCAGCCCACGCCGCGGGCACGCCATGAATGGCCCCTGCTGTCACGCTGAGATTTCCTGGCCGGGCCCCTTGTCACCAGGGCAAAGCTAGTGTGAGTCACCACTACGGATCTTAAGTCCCCCTTGGCCTAAACGCCCTTGGAAAAGGAGGTTCCCCGCAGGGACCCAGCCCAGCTAGGGCCACCGCTGCCACTTCTGGCCTGGCGAGCTCTCTCTCCTTGGCCCCGCCAGCGCCAGTCTTAATGTCAGGGTCAGGGCAGGGGACACAGAGACTGTGATATTTTCGGGGAGGGCAGACGCAGAGCTGGTGATCTGGGCTCTCTGGCCAGGAAGGGGGCAGGCGGGTGGGGAGAGAGAAGGGGTGGGGAGGAGGGCAGAGGCAGCCCTGGGCCTGGCCAGCCCAGCCCGTGACTAATTTAGGCAAAAGGCAGCCTGGAGCTATCTCCATTTGGTGGCTGGAACAGGTGCCCTTCACCCACGTCCAGTGCCCCGCCCCTGATGGCTGCAGCCACCTCCCCTGGGGCGACCTCCGGGCTGCCAGGCCCTATAAAGGCCCCAGGTTTTCTCAATGAACGTGGGACCAGCTAGGGCTGCCTGGAAGCTGCCAAGCACAGACCCTGCCACCACAGCCTCTGCACTCGGGGACATGAAGCTCATCGTGGGCATTGGAGGGTGAGCGCGGGGAGGGGGAGGGGAGGAGGAGGAGGAGGAGGAGGAGGAGGAGGTGATGGGGGACGCTGGGATATGAATCGAAGGCTTCCCTGGGCGCCTAAGATTGCAGGGCCCACCGCCCAAGGTCTAAGTGCAGGGAGGATTCTCTGCCCGAGGGTGTCTCGGTGCCCCCAGCAAGGACAGGGGGGTGGGC